GGGCATGGAAAAGTGCCGTCCACGAACCCCAGGAGATCCTGGCCGCGGAGGAAAGAAAGAAGCTGCATCCTCCAGAAGAGATAATTCTTGAGGGTGAGCTTCATCGTAATGTAGTGGTGCGCACCGGATAGTGAGTTTCCGGTCGCCGACGAGGGATTTCGGCAGCAGAGGCAGTGCGCTCGGAAGAAGTCGACATCAGCGTGGTGTCGCCGGCGAAAGAGGGTGAGAGGGGGAAGAAGTTTGTGGTGGAGGTTGGAGAGGATCAGATAACCTGTGTCTGATACCAGATTAGAGAATTCACCTCAAATTCAATTGCACTGAAGATAGGATTACAGAGTATATCGTAGAACTAATCTCTAACTGATCCTAACTAATAGAGAGCTAAGTCAAATAGAATTACCACCACTAATCTATGACTATACATTATAAGAATAATAAATATAAAATACTAGACATGCTAACACTAGAGACCTCTATTGTTTTCTTTTTTTCCACACATACTTCAAGTAACATCGAAGACGATGTTTATTTTAAAGTGTGGAAATGATGCACGTCGTGCTCAAAATGTCTTGTGGTTACTTAGTTGATCTAGTGGTGCTTGATTGACGATTGTGTTTGATTTTGGAGAGTGTGCCATTGTTTATATCATTCTAGAAGTGTGTTAGTGATGTGTTTTAAAAATTTTTATTCTTTGAATATCCTTAGGGAATTACCTCTTTAAACCAAGTGAGATTGCATAGAAACCATTAGGATTATATCTTGTGTATGCTTGCATGATATTCACCTCTTATTTTGCTTGGACCTTAGTCAAGGATCTCTCGAAGTAGGAGTGTGTACTCTCCAACCTTGGAAAGATTAAAAAAAAAAAAAAAAGAGCAAGGTCGGAAATGAACTTAATCTTGGTAAGGTATGGGGCAAAAGGTGAGCCTTATTGGTGAGAATTGAGAGAAAATTTCCTTAATCCCAAAGAAAAAGGCATGAGAAAAAGAAGTAGGGGAATGACGATGAGAAAAAAGGCAATACCAAAAAATAAATGGCCATCCTATGAGATAAGAAAATAGGTGAGCCATCTCGCTATGATTTGGGGCAATTCCATTGCACTGTCTTTGAAAAAGCGTAGAACTCTATGTGAAGTCGGTTGTCCCAAAGAAGATGTCCTAGGAGATGAGAAGAGAGAGTGGAGGTGAGCCATCTCACCAGGAACCGGGCACCCATAGCACCGATCTTCAAAAAAACATGGAGCTCCATGTGAAGTTGGGTCGCTTGGTAATGATTCCAGGAGGATGAGAAGAAAAAAGTGTCCGTCTAAGCCAATGGCGTTATAAGGATGGATGTCGGTTGGGATGTGCACATCGTTCCCACTAGGGGGCTCGGCTTGAAGGCCTGTGCAAAATGAGAGGTGAATCCAAATTTGGTTGCATGCTTGACTATGTGTAAAGAATGTGTTCCCTTTGCTATTCATTTTATCCTTTTAAGGGTTTTTTGTTCCTTTTGGATATTACTTGCGTTGCATTAGTAAAACACATTTCTACCACACTTGTTTTATGATATGAAGGAATTCCCCCTCTCCGGTTTCTAAACATTCATCTTGATGGATCACTAGGTGAACTAAGTTAACATTGAGCTATCTTGAGAATTATATTTGACACCTTTTCTATGATCATTGGTTTGATTATGAGCTTACTTGAGGACAAGCAAGAGTTAAAGTGTGGAAAGTTTTGATAAGTGCCAAAGACACTTAGTTTTAAGGTCTATTAGGGGTGTAGTTTGAGCTCAATTATGACCCTTTGTGTACCATTTTGAGTCATTTAAGCTATGTTCGCCGCCTTGCTCGTCATCTTCCGACTCCTCCAAGGACGACTCGATGTCGTTGTTCCATGCATAAGAAGAAGGGAAGGTTAGTACATGCCTTCTGCCCGGTAAGCAGTCAGTTAGCAGGAAAAGAACCAACCTGTCATGGAGGCGCCCTCAGGTAGTATACCGGCGCCCAGTCGCAACCAACGTCGGGCCGAGATGAGTTCACCCTTGGTGATGCGCTGGATCAGATCAACCAGATCGTCTAGGCAGGGTGGCCTCATCTCCATGCCAGGCGATCAGGAAATCAAAAGCCGGATAGCAGTTGGCCGGGCAGACAAAAAGGAACTCCTCCTTCTAACTCTTGTGGGAGGATTCCAGCTTGTCCAGGAATTTACGGCCATCCCAAGAGCGTATATGTACATGCCTTAGGGCAACCGTAGTCAGCCCGAAGAGTTGATGGAACAAAGGTAGAGAGGCTGGCACCTCAAGGTGATGGTAGTAAGTCAAGAAGGAAACAAGAAGACGGTAAGAGTTGGGCACCAACTGACCGGGAACTATGCCATAGTAGCGGAGAAGGAGGGAAAGGAACGGAAAAATCAGCATGCGGAACCCACACCGGACAAACTGGAAGTGGATCCCCAAGTATCCGTTGGCCGGGAGATCGCTCACCACCCGATTGCCGGGGCATCGCGTGCCGTCGCCGTACCCAAGACCCGGGCATGGAGGAAATCCACCTCTGAGATCGTGGAGCAGCGGCCGACCCGCCAGTCCAAGTCCTCGAAATAACCTGGTTCCCAGTCAATGGGAGGATTTACCGGGGCTATAGAAGTGGGGCCTTAGGCCGCCGCTGGAAAAGAAGTGGTGGCCGGAGCGTTAGAAGTTTGACCTTGACGGTCGCCGGCGGGGAGGCACAGGGCGGTTGCGAAGAAGACATAGAGGAAGGCAAAAGAATAAAAAGAAGGGGAGAAAAAGAAGGGCTAACCCTAGAAGATGACGGTCGGAGAGGACGACAGAACTGACTCGGGAAGGAAGGACGCCGGTCGCCGGAAAAAGAAGCAAAGGTCGATGAAGAAGGGGATGTCGTCGGATGATTTGGGAAGTGAGAGTAAAGAAATGCGGAAGAAGAGAAGGGAGGACAACTTGGGTATTTATAGGTATGATCAGCTGACCAGATCGCGCCACGTGTACTTGATCGAACGGTTGGGGAAGCGCCGTAACGTCTGACAAAACGGTTATGAAAAGTCGTGCCTCGAGACTGTAACCGACGGGAATGGAGGTGTTGCCATAATTACATGTCAGTGACCGTATCGATTCTCGGAACCAGTCGGCAGAAGCACGCACCCCCGACTGAGTGTCGGTTCGGCCCAAAAACGAGATAGTAGCAAGGCAGTCAGGCCCCTAATCGCACACTTGGTTATTTCTTCTTCTTTTATGAGTCATCACTCGATTAGACTCAAAAAAGTGAGGGACTAGTGATAGATACCCTAAATCGGGCACTCAGCCTAGGAGTATTAGAAGCAATCAGGACCGACCACAAAATGACACTTGACAGTTCAGGAGAAAGGGCCTCTCTTGTAACCCCAGTAGTGCAAGCACTCAGGAGACCAGGCCGCCACGCAGGTATGCACCTGGTCAAGGTTTTCGGCTGGCTCAGGTGGGCGACCAGGCTCAGTAGTCGGCGTGTCCTTGACCGAGCCCTTGGAAGGGTTCGGATGGGCGACCAGGCTCAGTAGTCAGAGTGTCCTTACTTAGGTGCCTTAGCCTCCCTAGCCAGGCTACTTAGCCAAGTAGTCGGTGCGTCCCCGACCGAGTGCGGGTTATAGAGGCGGTTGCTAGAGGATTTTGTGGAGATTCCTTTCCTTGTTCAACAAATATCTTATCTTTTTAAGTTTAAGCAATTACCGCATTAATTATGGTAAATTTCTAAGCTGATTTAGTTATTCTCTTGCCCTACTTACCTTAGATGATCTATCCCCTTATATAAATACCCTTGGGGTCACCATGTAAAGGGTCGAATTCTTGAATAATATTTTGTTACTCTGTCTCTTTCTCGACATAAGCTATCTTTACTTTCTAACCCTAGCATTTTACGATAGTGTTGGCCTGCCGACAACTACCCTAGACCGTAAAACCAACAATTCCCATATTAGAATCCAATTTAAAATTATTTCTCCATGCATGATATGTGAATTTGATGTGTCCGTGGCGGGGGTGGGGGTGGGGGTGATTGAAAGGGGTGCCTAATGAAGAGAGGGAAGGGGCGCACGTGAAAAAGAAAAGCCGTATTCACAGCCGGTACAAAACAGTGGAGGGAGATATGAGAGCTGAGCCTCGCATATCCAGACGCATCATCTTTGCCGTACACCTGTTCCATGCAGTAAATAAACAAAAGTAATATTACATCTAATTTCATTTTGTTCCTTGCCGAACTATAACAATAAAGTAGATCGTTATTTTTATTAATTTATATTTCTGTCAATAAAATTAAGCTTATAATGAGTAGAGAAAAAATGTCCATCAAATTATTAAATGAAATGAATGGTTAATATTATTCAGATTTTATTTTTTCCTTGAAATTTATAAATTTATCCTTAAAATTTACAAATTTATCCTTAATTATTAATTTAATTAATTTCAATAAGAAATGTTTTAGGTTCGAACCACATCCCAATCAAAGTTGACATAATTAAGTTTCTCAGTCTATTTTACTCTTGTTAAATTAAATAAATTAGTAGCTACAAAAAAAAATGATACATATGCATTTCTTTAATTTAGAATTATGTGTCTATCATGTCTTTATTTAAAAAAAATAATAATAATTCATTATCAATAAATTAAATAAGAGAAATAATTTTATTAGTTATATTATCTTTTATTTTCTCCAATGCAAAAGTTTTTTACATTCAAATTCATCAATTGATATTCATTACATTATCTTTTATCTTCTTTTTACACTACCCTGTAATTAAATATCAAAGTTATAATACAAAATAATGTTTATATATTTATTTACCAAGTATTTTTTTAATATCATGAAAAAAAATAGTTTGAATCTAATCATATTAACTACTTCGGTGATTTGCTGACAAAGAGAGTATTCAAATAACCCAACAAATTGAAGCGGGAAACTACCTCGTAATATCTCTAGACTACATCATATTTAAAATGTTTTCACATTTTTACTACATTATCTAATCTTATTTTTAAACTAGAGATTTCTTTATCTACAATAACTCATTCACACAATAATGGTTGAACCAAATGAACCCCGGGCAAAACACCTAAAGGACTGCTATGCTTTTATGTCGATAATAATATGTAAATGTTAATTATATCATAATCTTACGTAGCTACATTTAAAACTCATTATTAGATCTGTCAATGTAGGGCAATAGAACATCGTAACACATTTGATGCACTGAAAAGATTCCGAGACTACAACAATGCCGCAATCAATTTGGCAAACTTATAAAATGAAGAAATTTCAAAATAGCCACCGTTGATTCATAAATTTATCTAGTATGTAAAATACTTATCGTGCATTAATTAAATATATTAAAACTAATATAAATTTATAATTCATTTCATCTTCTAGACTCAACCTGCTTAGATTACAGGCAAAATCGACATTAACCTTCACAACAAAAATACTTGGTATATAAGATGTAGTCACTATTAAAAAAAAAAAAAAAAAAAAAAAAAAAAAAAAAAACTTATGCACAAAGTGGAAAATAATTTAACTTAAAAGTTAATATCAATTCAATAAAAATAATTTTTTTAAAAAAAAAAAAAAAAAACACACACACACACACACACAAACTCAGGTACTACACTCATTCCTACTAATTCTAAAAATATGAACTCGAAAATGAACAGGTGCAAAATGGATGTAGAAATTATTAATGAAACTGGACACGCTACAACATCAATATTCGAACTACCTGCGGAGTTATTGTTGTTACTATCAAGTAAACAAGTTATGAAAATAGAACAAGAGATACTACTCATGAACCTTATACAAATATAATAAATATTAATATTTTATTCAATACATCCACATGAAACATGTAGGGGAACAAACTACCACTTGCAAAATATCAATAGGCACTTGCAAGATCAAGAGTTTATAATACAACTATGATCCCAGTCATATACACAAGGAAAATCCACAGCTTCCTACACCATAATCTCATTGCATGACGCTGTCATCTATGCTACCAACAATAACCCAGTTGCAAATAACACAATACCAACAAAAAGGAAGATGACAAATAGTGAAAATGAAGACAATGACAATGTTACTCAAAAGAGAATTAAGATTATAATACTAGAAAAAATAAATCAAAAGTAGTATTTATTTATATTATCGTTTTTAGACCGAGTATTTAGACTATCGATTTTACAAAGTTGCGAACATTTATTTTAGTGACAATTATAATGAATTTCCTATATTATCTTGCATTCATATATTTTGAGTTACATATTTATATAAATAAATTCAACATTCAATTGTCTGTGTATGAACTTCTCCTATATAATATTGTATTGATGTACTTTTAAATATTTATTTGAATATAAATATTGGACATTAATCTATTCGCGCAATGCGCATGTAAAACTAGTATTACCCAATAAAATTTATAAATATAGCAGAAATTATGCTTTATGAAAATACATATATCATTTTTCAAAAAACAAAAGGATTAAAAACTTTAACTTACTACTAGGGGCTATAGTCTATAACCTCCCTCCTCTCGATCTCTATATATGTATATATCACACGTATGTATGCATTGGCTGTATGTATATGTTTGGTCCCTACGGATCCAAATTGTTGGTCTTTTCCCCACCATTTCTTTGTCAATGCCAAGATTTATAATAGATTCGATATGGTTAGTTTTATTCTTCGTAAAACAAACCCCTCCCCCACGCCCTTAACCCCCCAAGTTGTACTTTACCGTTGAACAGATCTAACCATTCAACCAGTTTCTTAGCCCTACTCTATTTCCCATTATTTTATAATGGGTCACACTTGTGTGATACCGTACGTCTCAATCTGTGAGATAAGTTGGATTAATATAATTTGGATCATATATAGTTATGGGTTAGTATTATAAATCTGCGGTTGATAAAATAAATACTTTAAGCATTAAGATTTGAGCATAATACTTTATAGCACAAATCTAATACTTCATAGCACAAATATAATACACAGTTTGCATGTTAAAACCCGAGAATGTGAGAAGTTGTTCATCTTTTGAAAGGAGGACAAATGCCAATGTCTAATACTTCATAGCACAGTATAAATATAATACACAGTTTGCATGTAGATAAAATCAATACTTATTAAACATAATACTTTATTTTCCCTGGTGCATTTACATTTGACCAAGGTCCTTGTACTTAGTGGCACCAAGTTGCTCTCTCATATGTGAGGTTGTGGGTTCGCTCCTCAAAAAAAAAAAAAAAAAAAAACTCTTTGTGCTTCAATAGGTTGAGAAAATAGTTAAGAATAGATACTACATTGTAACAGAGTCAATAGTACTCCAAAAAAAAATATTTTATAGAGAAATGGTTAAATAGGCCCTCGAACTTTAGCTGAAAAGTCAATTAGCCCCCTCAAATTTATAAAGGTGCAATTACACCCATCAACAATTCATTTTGATGCAATGAAGCTCAAAAACCGATAAATAACCTGCTATCACATGTCATTAGGGATCCGGCCATCTTTCAGCGAAAATTTCAGGCAAAAAAGTGACCAGCGAACGGTCACTAGTCACGGAGCGAGAAGGAGAAGGCGACCTAGATCGTGGTAGATAAAATATAATACTTTATAGCATAAATCTAATACTTTTTAGCACAAACATAATACTCAATCTGCATGTATATATAATGGTCAAAGTACCTAAAAGGTCCCTATACTATAGTATTTTGTTCAATATAGTCCATCTACCTTAATTTTGTTCAATTTGTGGTTTAAAAAGTGAAATAATAAAGGACAATAACTTATTAGCACTAACATCATCTCTGCCAACTCTTATATTATTTTATAAATTTATTTAAAATTAATTATTTTTACCACCAATATATTACATTAATATGTCCAAAATAAATACATTCTTACATTAAGATTTGAACACTCAACCTTTGCCAAATATATATATATATATATATATATATATATATATATATATATATATATATATATATTAAATTTATCTATTATATCAATATATTATTTTTGTATTAAACTTCTTAATACAACTAAAAAAATTTACAAATCACATTTTATAATAGTATTTAATTATTGTTTACAATGAAATAACAATATAAGATAATGGTAGAGTATTTAATTATTGTTTACAATGAAATAACAATATAAGATAATGGTAGAGTGGTAGTGAACATATATATATATATATATATATATATATATATATATATATATATTGATAAAAAATAAAAATGAAGATTAAATTATAATATTTTATTTTATTCATATTTTTTAACAAATACAATTTTTAAATTATATTAAAATACACATGACATAATTTATTCAAATAAATTAAATTACATTAGCAATGCATAAATAAAATTTTGTTAATGTTAATATTTTTTTTGATAAACTAATAAGTAATATGCATTTTAATACAAAAGATAAAAATGTCAATTATTAAAATATTATAGATCATAATAAATTAAAATATTACATATTTATCGTCATTATTAATTTTTTATAAATATAAATTTTTTAAAAAATTACTTATCAATTTGTTCTAAATTTTATGAAAATTTTTATTATAACTAAATTTTTTTACAAATCTCATTTTATAATGGTACTTAATCATTCTTTACAATGAATTTACAATTTAAATTAGTGACAAATTGGTAGTGAGTGCATTTTTTATATATAAGAGGATAGTTGTTCAAATCTTATTGTGAGCAAATACTTAAGTATATATTTTGGACATATTAACGTAATATATTGGTGGTAAAAATAATTAATTTTATATATTTATAAAATAATAATTAATTTTATATATTTATAAAATAATAATATATGAGTTTGGCATGTAAGTATGATGACGTGGCAAAAATTATCGATGTCAACGCTACATCAGCTATTATCCTTAATTGTTTCTCTTTTTAAAGTACATGGGCTAAATTAAACAAAATTAAGGTAGAAAGACTAAATTGAACAAAACACTATAGTAGAAAATAAAAAATTACATATAAAACAAATAAAGGATACATTTAGAATTATAAAAAGAAGCAAGGGCAAAAGGGTATTTTTTCCTCCCCATTTTAATTTGCCGCAGATGAATAGTGCAGGGCCAAATATGGCGCTGCACTGTTCATTAACGCCAAACATTTTGGCGTTATGCCGCAATGCCATCTCCCTTTGGAGCAGTCCAATTTGCATATTTGGTGTTTTGGCGTAAGATTTTACAGTTTTGCAGTCACATTGGAGATGCTCTTAGCACCCGATACAATCAAATATATCATATATATGTACTTAAATCAAGTATTAGTGACTAATGAGTATAGTAGATAAAACTTGTTTATAATATTGAATTCTATAGAATCACAAAAATGTTCCTTTAGGAATGAAATTTAATTTTGAATACTATTGACTCTATTACAATGTAGTATCTGTTCACAATAGCGGACCTACAATGGGCTACCCCCACTGACCCCTCCCTAATTTAAGCCTTTTATAAAATATAAATATAAGATTTACTCAAGGTTTTAGTATCTTAGTTGGTAGAACCCTTAGGTTGTTTATGGTAGGTTATGAGATCAATCAATTCCTACTAGTAGTTTTCTTTGTATTTTTAGTTTTTTTTTTAAAAGAAAAAAAATTATTTTAAAAGGAAAAAAAATTATTTTAGCCATTCCAATATTATAGTATTTTTAGTTTCTTTTCTTTATTTTAACCCTTCCAATCCTTCAATAAATTAAATATTTTTTAAGTCTACTTTTTTGTGAATCATTTAATTAATGTAGTCCGCAAGTTTATATTATACTTCATTGTATTCGAATTAATTTAGAAAAATTAAAAGTTGATATAACTAAAAGAAAATTAAAATTAAAATATTTATGAATATACTATCTTTTCTATTCAAGCTATTTATCTAATCAATTATGTTTCATATATTTTATAGTATTTCAAGATGTTTTACAATTTAACCCTACCCAAGTATAGTTTTAGCTCCGCCCCTAACTATCATGTCGTCTATCATAAATATTATTGTATTATAATTTATAATGTATTTGAACATATTATAGATGTTTGATATTTTTCATTGACAATTCTAAAGTCGTAGCGAATTCTTCAGACAAAATCGTGAAAGATGTAATTTTTTCTTAGAAGTGTGATCTAGAGTTAAGTATGCCCCCACTCACATTATTTTCTGGGTCTGCCACTGTCTGTTTATACATACTTTCTCAACCTACTTAAGTACAAAAAGTCAATGCTCCCACACTGAAGTTCGAACATGAGACCTCTTATTTGATGAGCCACAGCTATGCTTCTCGACCACAAAAAAATAAAAAAATAAATAAAATAAAAATAAAGAATGAAATTTAATTAGGACCTGATATAATCGCAGTAGAGGTCAGTTAGTTGACACGTGGTGATTGATTAGAATTTGATAGGATGGGACCCCAGAAGAGACCTAATGTTGAAGCAAGGAATTGGTTGATCTTTTGACCAGTTTCCTAATCAGACACATGTTTAATGATGAATGAAACCTTTTTTTGCCAACTATAAGACAGATGTCGTACGAGAAATCTAATCTTTATACTAAAAGAAACAATAATATTAGCGGTAACACTTAGCTTGTGTTAGATTGTGTCATGGGTTTCAAATCACATATTGAATATTTGACATTATTAATTAAATATCTATCCCATTTTTATTATATATATAGAACCAGGGACGGAGCTAGAAATTAGGTTGAGGGAGGGAGGAAGGGGGGCGAAGAAGTAGGGGCAAATTCAGAAAAAATTTTCAAAGGCGAAACATTAAAAAAAAAAAAAATAATTTAAAAAAAAATTACCTAAGAAATATAGTTGTAAATATTGTTGGATATCGACGAAAAATAAAACACATCAAAACTTTATAAAAATATTCATAACAAAATATGAAACATAATTAATTTTGAATTAAAAACAAAATATATTGATGCTAAAGAATTCGAACTATGAAACATAATTAAGTTGAATTAAAAACACTATAAAAATATGTTGATGCTAAAGGATTCGAACTA